CGGGGGAAAAGCCAAAGGAATCCAGATGAAAATACTTCAGTGACATTTGTTATAATGTGCTCTGACTTTTTTTCCCTCCTTTCGCCATATTTCCATTGTTTATTGAAGCGGAATTTTCGGTGCTCGCTTGAATTTATGTGCGCTTCGCGCGATGGTCTGTGCAAGAATCACTGCGTGGTTCATTTGAAAGGCATTAAAGTCATAAATAAATTTCACTTCCTTCATCACACCTTCTTCCTATTCATCTCAATCACTGCTTTTTCTGCGCTTTGTCTCGTAGAACTCCGATCGAAGATGCCGCGAAAGATGTTTGTAATTTCTGTTGTACTTTATGTACTTGAGAAATTCAGCAAAAAATAGTATTATGCAATGCTCTCAGTTGCTATTGAAACACTGACTACACTTGTGACACACGAAAATCTTACGTGAGAAGAACTGCAAATGTTTTATTCTTCATGGAATTTGCAATGTTGTGCAGCACAACAACTCCGGAAAAAGTGCTGACTTTGAAGTAATGTTTAATAAAAAATTCCACATCAAGGAGAATGAAATTCTGCACTGATTTTTATAAGCGGAACATTTTTACAAGGAAAATTGAGAGTGAAGGGATGTTAGATTATTATTTATTAGAGTTTTTGCATACTTCAAGATTCAGCGAAATACTCTGGAGAACTTTCAGAGCTCTCAAAATCTCAAATATTCCTTTATTAAAGGTTTAGAAAATACGCAGTAAAGTGAATTTTCATTGAGTTTTTAGAATATTCGGAAATCCATGGAATTGACGAATCATTTCAGCCGGAATATTAAAGAATATCCAGGAATGGATGCAAATAGAAGTGAAAATCTCTTGGAAAAGGATGTGTGATGGAAAATTAAAGTATTTTAATCGTTCTTAGAATATAGAAAATATATTTATTGATTGCTCATAAAAACGTGCATTTGTGAGTGAAAAATGCGTCCATCGACTGAGAAAGGCAATTCTGACCTTCAGAGAGAATATTACAAATTCTTCTTGAAGAGGAAATTATATTTATGGTGTTAGAAAGAGTTTAGTGCGAAGATTGAGCGAAAAATGCAGATAAAAAGCGATAAAATGAAGGAAAATACTCGAAAGGGTAACCGAAATTTAACGGATTTATCGGAAATTTGCTTGGATTTACCGAGAAATCCTTGGTAAATCCGATAAATTCGCATTATGATTGTTAGGATTTTTTGTCCTGAATTTATCGAGAAATATTGTTATATTTCGCAATATCATTTTTAATACCATTCAAGGTTCTACGGATTTTTTGCTGCTTGTCTTTTAGTCTGAAAAGCTAATAGTAATGAATAAATTTCTTTTGATTGAATGTAATAATTAATAATCCTCTTATTTGCTCTTAACTCTGTCGCTCTGCTTCCACAGGAGCTTCTTGGCCGTTTGTTGGGAAGAAAAGGGAAAAGAAGAAATATGAGAAATATATTTCCAGGGATAATAATTATCCCGGGATGAAATTAATAATTTGCTCTCCCGAGGAAATAGAATTAAGCTCAACGTGAGAAAGCAACATAAGCTGATCGTCCAGCAAAACAGGGAAATTCTCGCCTCGAGATTGTATCGATTATTGATTAGTCACTGGGAAATGCATAATTAAATCAGACATTTTGAAGGGGTGGATGGAGATTCGGTGGGTTGTGGAGTTTATCCTAAACAACATAAACTACGTTGAATATTCATGAAGCTGAATTTCGCTATTTCGCCTCCGTCGATGCTAAGCAAAAACGGACACGGCTTATCCCCTCAATCTGCTTTCATGGCAGGAAAACTCGGTGACAGAGAGGAAAATACATATAATGTGAAAGTTGTCAGCAGCTAAGAAGGTAACTTACTTATGCCTTTCAACCCATTCAACATCCATTTTCACTCTCAATCTCTCCATTCTCACTTTCCTCGCTCAGATTTCACGTGCTCAACATTCATAGTTTGCTAGAGAAAGACAGACAAATCGTCATTCTATGTTGAAATATCGTAAATATTTTGCTTTAGCGTTGAGATTTCAGGAAAACAATTGATTATTTATCCAGCTACACAAATTCTTTCTGCCTTCTATGCCGTAAACTTTGATATACCCCACTTTGAAAGGCCCCGAATTGAGATATCATCAGGATCTCAACTCCACTTGAAAGAACATAAAATTCTGATAATTTCCTTAAGGTAAATGTCTCGAAAATTGAAAGAAATTTCGCATTTTTAGCTTTAAAATTAATGTATCAAGAAAAGAAGTTCTGAAGCTCCGCCCACTCGAATGCCATTCCCACTCTTGCAATTACATCCGTTTCACTCTTCATGGATGTGTATTCACTGAAAAAGAAACTTCTTATTCGACTCCGAATCACATTGTGTGCAATTCTAAGGCCATCAGTAAATTAGAAAAGTGAAAAATTGTGGGAAAATACGAGAAGAGTAACTAGAAAGTGCCTTTTGAATTTTATGTCATGGAAGTTCATGCTTGTCCTTTGATGGTTTGTTTAATTCTCTGCATTCACTTCTTGTTTGGCATAAAAAGTGTCCATCATGTCTTTTTTCCGGTTGTTTGGAATTTTCAATAGTCGGAAAAAAGGTCTGCGTTGAGGCAAAATCAAGGGAAACAGAGGGAAAATGAAGAGGGAAAAATGTCTTTGTGTCACATTCCGAACAAATCGATGGTTTGGCATATAAAGCGCCTCGCCATGAAGAGGGATGAATGAGACAGTAAATTAGATATTATTCGTCACAGGGACTTTCACTCATTCCACAGGATGAGCGAAAAGGACATTGGAGTGAAAGTGAAATTTATTCATGAAATAAAGGAGCAGTTTTATCTTATATGTCTCACTTTTCTTCATTCTCTCGCCATTCACAACATGATTAATCAGGCGAAAACATTTTTATTGCTCCAAGAAAGTCGTTTTTGATGATATGACCATACATAAAAGATGATATAATGGGAGTAGAGAATTTTACTTTTCAATATCCATGCCTGAGAAATAAGGAGAAAACCATGGGAAAATATTGCTTTTAATTGAAATTGAAGGTGATCAAATATACCGCATAAGAATTGATTAATATTTTCCCTCAATTATGTTGAGAAGCCTGACTTTTTCACCTGCAACACACCGAAAATAGAAACAATACTTTGTGAAATGATTTCTGCAGAATGTCTGCTAAATTGAAATATGAACCCATTGAAATGCCTTCGAGGAAGACTGAGAAGTATGTACATTTTCTCCTATTTACCTTCACAAATTGCGAATGTGTATTATAAAAATGACTTGAATTCCATGTCAACAGAATATAGAAAAAATTACGCTTTGCCAGAGAAACATTTCGTTTTCTCAGAAATTTTAATTACCTTTGCAATTCTTTATGGCTTGAGAAGAAATTCAATCTAATAATCATAGATAAAAGGGAAAATGAACATCATGATGGCATTGAGTATTGGAAAAGAAGCATAGAAATTAGGACAGACCATTTAAAAACACTCCAAAATGGGGGGGAAATCATTGATATGTGCTGATGTCTAAATTCATTCAATTTTCCCGCACTCTTTGTGCCGTCAAATGACAATTTCTGGCAAAGAAAAGCAGCTAAAAAATCATTTCTTTTCCACCCTTCGCAACACACAAGAAATGCGCCATCGACACTCGCAGCCATATCGGTAAATTGAAGAATGTGACAAGACAAAGGGGAAATAATACAGTCAGAAGTGGTGTACTGTTCATAGTGATTAATAGTGCTTTTTTTACCCTTCTACGCAAAGAAACAGTGCAAATTGTGCTAAGATTGAACATAACCTCAAAAATAGCCATTTGGACTTGGAAAATGTACATTTAGACAACTTTGTGGACAGTTTTGACTGTGAATCAGCAATTTTGAGATGTTTTTTTGACCTGGAAAGCTTTCGAACAGAGTTTTTGAAGATCTCCTAATTATATTTTTGAGGTTATGATCAGAAAAGATGTCCAAAAACAGCGATTTTAAGTCGATTTTTATAGAAACATCGAATAAAATCTCAAGAAATTTATTATACTTTGGAAATTAATATGGAAACAGGCAACAAATTCATGTTCTCGAAGTGTCAGGCAAATTTGGAAGTGTTCACAAGTTGTGTACACATTTAAGGCATATTATTTCCCTCTTGTGACAAAATGTGGAAGACATAATTTAATGCTCATGGACAAGAAGAAGTACCAATTTTCAGACATCATCTTCTCTGATGGAGCTTCATAGTAAGGACTTTTGCCCAAAGAACCGCCAGGAAAATTAATTAGAGGTGATTCCATGCTATTAAGCATGGAAAACCTGAACAATAACTCAAACTCAATGGGAATTAAATAGCGCAACTAACAAGGTGAGATTATAAAACCACATTGTTAGACAAATCACTTCGCTCAGACTCTGTGAATTATGGCTCCTCTGGGGGTGGAAACCGCCCACAAAAAGCCTGTGGCGAGTAAATTGATCATTCCGCGTGTTTGTTGAACTGCTTCCGCGATTGCCAGTCGATTCATGCCAAATTGAGCAGATGAATAATTAATAAAGCATGATATTCTGTTCTTTCTGCGTACAGAAATCGAAATAAATCGAAGCAGATTTGTTTATATTCAATTACATATAAAGTCAATTTCTAATCAAATCCACTTGAGGCATCGAATAATGCTCCGCCCACGCATAAGCCTTGCCCCGTTTTATGAAAATGAGCCATTTGCCAGCTTATTGAAATGAATCATATTGAAACATGGATGATGGGCAATTTCTTGAGTGGAAACTCACCTTTGGCCTAGAAGACACCCTGCGGCGGGCGCGCCTGGAGGCGGGGCAGCGCAGGAGCGTCAAACTGGGTCTCCAGGACGCCCGAAGGCAGCACGACCGTGTCCGCGACGGCCGTGGGCGGCGCCACCTCGGACAGGAGGATCGTGTCGACGCTGTTGAAGAGCTTCACCGGCAGGCGATCGTCGTCGTGACCCGTGGGGCCGCGCGGGATGATCTCCGTGATGCCGCTGGAGCGGATGTAGCTGGAGGGCAGCAGGGACTCCTGCACGGTTTCGTTGTTGCCGTTGCACGTCCGCTCGGAGCGCCACTTGGTGCCCGCGGGCAGGAGCCCGTTGCGCCGCGACACTGGCTGGAAGCACGGCAGCACGAGCTTGAACTCCTTGCGGAAGTTCTCGTTGAGCCAGGCGTACAGGAAGGGATTGTAGCACGTGGAGGACATGGCGACGCAGTGCGAGATGAAGAAGAACACATTGTAGAAGCGCCACTCCTCCGTCTTCGCGTAGAAGTCATTGAAGATGTTGACGACGTTGAGCGGCAGCCAAGAGATGCCGAACACCGCCACCATGGCGATCAGCATCCGGTTGGTGCGCTTCTTTCGGTCGCGGTCGGCGACTTCGCGACGAGACGTCTTAGAGCCTGGCTTTGTGCGTGCGCGATCGTTGAGCTTGATGGACACGCAAGTGTAGCACACGGATATGATGAGAAAGGGAAGAACGAATTGAAGAGTGGAGTTGAAGGATCCGAACACCTTCCGGTACTCCTCAGATGGCCAGTCTTCTTCGCAGTAGTTCTGCCAGACACCTGCCAAAGATAAGAAGAGGCCAAAGAGCTCTCGTGCGACTCATCCAGGGACTTTTCGCGAGTTCTAATCTCTCTTTCTCTGTGCTGTTTTTTTGCGTGTGTGTTAAAATTTAAATTGAATTAAGCAACGCGAGAGAAAAAATCCAATTTCCCGTGGAAAGTTGATGAGTTTTGGGATGAATAAGGCAATCTCTGGGGGCATCGGCTCACCTGTGTGATTCATTGCAAACACCTTCATGTAGAGTCCGTAGGGGAGCGTGACGAGGAGGGAGAATCCCCAGATGCTAACAATGATGATGATGCACGTGGCGAGCCGCATGCGCGGGTGGAATGGGTAGATGATCACGAAGAAGCGATCGATGGCGATGGACGTGAGCGTGAGCGTGGAGATGTACACGCTGCAGCCCTGGGCGTACGGCACAAGATGGCATAGCATCGTGCCGAACACCCAGCCACGTAGGAAGGTGTAGAGTGGCGTGAAGGGCACGGCGAGGATGCAGAGCAGGATGTCCGATAGAGCGAGATTCGTGATGAAGAGATTCGTGACAGTTTGCATGGCACGATTCCTGAACACCACGAAGCACACCAAGACATTGCCGAAGATGCCCAGCACGAAGATCACGAGGTACAGGAGGCAGAAGATGGTCTGCACCAGTTCGTTGTGGATGAGATCGTGGCGCGAGATGTTGCTGAAGATGACATCGCTGCCCAGCACCACGTCAGCATAGCTCAGATCGAAGTCCATCACAGCCGCGTCCTGCTGCGGCAGCGCGTCCTGGCGAGAGTCATTGGGCTTCAGCAGCCACATCGGCTCCTCCGCCATCGTCAGATCGCATGGAAATTACAACACTCGCGCGGAAAAAGGGTCAATAAATGTCTCTGCAGAATCACTTCAATCTCTCCGCACTTCGTGTCATTATCGGGCCAATTTCCATTTCAATTGCTCTGGAGCAATCTGAAAGAGAGGATGAGCAGAGCATGAATCTCTTAATCGAGAATTTCGAGTCATTTTTGCACCATCAGCGACGACATTTATATTCAAGGACATTGGAAAAGTGGTTGAAATTAGTGTTTTTTTAATAGGGCAATATTTGGCGCATAACCCAGAGCCAAGGGGGATATAGTATGGTCAGAAGCGGTGTACAGTTTAGTTGAACTATTTCAGATTGGAAGTGTTTCAATATTTTTAATATTGTGCGTTCAAAAGCTAGTTTCAAAGGAAATTTTTAGATTATGTTTTCAATGCGTCCAAAAGAGATATTGAAAATTGAATAACAGCCAAATATTCGAGAGAAAATTCAAATATTTCTCAAATACTGTGTCTCTTTTCAGAGTCAAAAAGTGTGAAAATCGTGCAATTTTGGGGGGAAAAGACTCTTAAATTTGAGGTTATGTTAATTTCGGCGGTTGGAAATTGTGGAAATGTCAAGAAGTGGTGTGTAGATTTTAGCCATAGGATCTTCACCTTGTTTAAACTTTTCATACGCAATCTTAGGGAGTCTTTTAGGGAGTCTCTTAGGGAATTAGGGGCTTGTAATGGCCAGCTTTTATCCAATCCAGATAATGGTTATGGTTCGCCAAATTGCTTGTGCACTGAATTGATTGAATGCCATCCTTCGGGGGAGGCGATTTTATTGTTTCTCTCGCGTCAATGAATCTACGTGAAGTGCGTGTGAAAACAGTGGGTGTGAATATTCAATTGAATTCCAATGATAAACACTTTAGGCATTGCGAACGGTGTGTTTTCGTCACAAAACGAAGCGGTGTCGCTGTGACTTTAGCGCCCTCCAAATCACCCCATCAATTTGGCTGATGGAAAATTTAACAGCTCCGAGGCGGGAAAATAAAATGATATGCTGCCAATGTTGTGATCACCCGAAAAAGCGCCGTGTTTAATTAATTTGCAGTGCGACAGCAAATATTAAGTGACACCCCATGAAACCAGCTTGATATCGACGGGTGCGTCGAAAACTATCAAAAGCTAAAATCGCAGTATTTCAGCAGTGCGAGTTCAAAATTTAGCGTTAATAAAGCTGCGAAATTTACTTGAAATCCTGATTCAAGTTTTCATTCGTAAAACGTAACAATTTTTTCTCTCGTATGTGCTCTTTAGATAAATAAGATGTTTTTTACAATTGTCTAATAAGCTGCAAATCTCAAAATTTTTGTGCGAGAAGAACAAATGAAAAGCTTTTCAAAAATAACACAAGAGGAAAACTATGATAAATTGACTTTTCATAGTTTTCCATTCACCCGTCGAATGTTGTATTGAGAATTGACTGGGCAATTTTGCTCATTCGTCACCGCAAATTTACTCATCTCACGTGAAGCTTTGGCGAAAGAATAATATTAATAAGTGTGTCATAAGTTGAGGAGGAAATGAAATTCACATGACCACAGGTGGTTTCCTTTATTGCCATCGCCCACCACGTCGCCTGGCTTTGATCGATATTGGTCCATTTTCCCAACACACACACACAAGAGGCCAATCACCAAGAAAATGCGTGACTAATGAATTGGCGACACAAACAACCCCAAATTGAATGCTGACAATCGTAAAAATCAAACTGTGAAGATTATTTGACGTCTTGTCTCTCTTCACGACCAGAAATGGCAGAAGGATAAAAATACCGGGATTAATTAAAAGCAGACGGGAAAACTCTGTTTGGAAAATATCTCTGCAATTTCTAGTATAACTCAATTTGAAATTCCAAATTGAATTACTTTCCCATGTGGTGATTTTAATGCAATTCAATGTGATATTTGCTGCGCATTTCGTAATCAATTTCATCATTCTGTTACATCAACAGGATGTTTTGCAGAAGTTTGAAAAAATCTGACACATTGAATGATTTTCATAATTGGGCATATCGAATTTCTCATACTAAGTTTTGCAATTAAATGTTACGTAAGCGACTTTTTCAGGGATTTTATTGAATATTTCATACAATTCGACAGAATTTTCAATATAATGTGGAAGCGCAGGAGATAAATTGTCACTTGCATATCACACTTGATATTCTTGTGACTTGTTTGAGGGCAATGAAAAAATTATTTGCTGTGACAATTCGTCAAATGTCTCGCGCTTAACTATAAAAAAAAGCTCTCTTTAGCTTTTTATATCGTCAGTCAATTGTCTGTCGAATGACTAACGATTGACAGTCTTTCAGTCTTCGCTTTACTCATTGATAACAGAACGACTTTCACTTGTTTGTCTCATATATTTCAGTTCGCAGTTGGCGACAATTTTTCACCCGCATTTTGAGGCTTAATTTTGGGGAATTAATATGGTTTTGACTGAATCCAAGGGGGTTATATAATTTGATTTATTTCAATATTTTGCCCGGAAATATTCAAATTTTGATTTTTCTTGCCTTTTAACTGAATCATTGCAAAATATTGCTCTGTGATATCTTTCATTATATGTGAAAGTGTTTCTACATTTACTTAATTCTATGTATTCAAATTTACCGTGTGGTAAATATTCATTATACATGATTCCTTTGTGTTTAATATTTACATTGAATTATATCTGCAAATTGCGAAATCGTTTTGCTCAGTTTATCTCAGAAGGAGAAGTTTGCATGAAATTTGAGATAATTCGCTAAGAATTAATTTAACACCGAGTTATGCCACAAAATAATATTTAAATATCTGAAAATATCGCATATAAAATTGCTTCATTTACTATATGCTTTTTGATTAAGCAAAAATGAAAGAATTTTCAATTTCAATCGACACACAAATTTTCGGTAAGGAAAAAATTCTATCTGCGTCACTTTTCTACTCTTTGTGTGCATTTTTCGTGTCAAAATCATATGAAAAATGCGCCAAAAAAAGTGAAGCAAAATATTTCACAGTAAACAGCATGAGAATTTCCAGGAAATTCATTTTTTATCAATTGCGCCAAAGGAAAGTGCACAAAATGAGTATTTATATATCAATATTGATCATGACAAAACACTGGATATTGGATAAATCCCTTACACTACATTTTCCGTAATTGTTCTTCACTAGCCAAACACCCGCGGGGATGTTAATAACATTGTGCAAAAGTGCTCTATTGAATGGCTGTTCTTCTTGTCCACGAAGAAAAGTGAGTAAAAGAGGAAAATTGCCAACGACAAAGTGGCAAATGAGGCAACACAAAGTATTTATAAAGAATTTAATCTCAGTGTTAGGGATTTAAGAAAGGATCAGTGTCCATTAATTGTGCGGCTGCGATGGAGAAAAGCCAGTGGGTGGACTTTCTCCACCCACTTGTTGCCAACGAAGCGCGTGCAGAACAATGGCAAAATGGCAATTTCGCTTCAGCATCAGCAATTGAAGCGTCTGAGGCAATTTTACAGCGATTTACCTGAGTGAAAAAGGCTGCCGTTTTTTGCATGTGGCAAAGATATTGAATAAGGTTGAGATCAATATTCCCATCAAAATGCTATTTAATGGCTTTCAGTCTGGAGAGTTGGAATTTCTTTTATTAATCCGTCTGTTCGTCTCGCATGAGGCAAAAGAGCTGCTAATCTCATCAGAAGTTGTCACAAATTTTAGAAGAAACTTGACTTATTTCAACAAATTAATCTTTAATTTGATTGATTCGCTCTCTTGTGAAGTTTTCACATGAATTTACGCAAATTCATCACGTGCCGTGAGAAAACTTGAACAGCGATGCTTTTCTTTAAATTTGAATGGTGATTTCTAACAATTACAGTGACGCATTGGTGCGTTTCTGACAGGTGAAATACATAAAATTGCTATGTTTTATCGCCAATAATGCAATTTGCGATAATGCCAATGAGGTAAATATGTTATAAACAATTTAATTGCCCTGAAATTGCTTTCATGCATGAAATTTTTCCACATCATGTAAACATATTAAAGCTGAATTTCCTCGATATACTCAAAAACAGCGCATCTATGCATGGAGATTCCTAAATGAATCACTACAGAAAACCACAGTAAATTCGGTGAAATTATACAGTTTTGCAGTTTGCAGAAATTAGAGGGAAATTCACCGCATAAAACACATAACAAAAGCTCAAGGGAATTTCCCAAAGTTGTCAAGAGTTGCACAACTTTTCACTATGGCATTCAACATTGTCAAAAGTATAGAATTTTCACTGGCTTTCGAGATTGTTAACTTGAGCTTTTCTTTATAGTGTTGAGCTTTTTGGGATCATAAATAAACTTTTATGCGGTTTCACACTGAAATCAACAATGTGAGGGGAAATGAAATATACTTTATTATGTCAAATCCTGGATTGAGATTTTTCTTTTCCCGCCTGAAAGTTTCCTGAGTTTCCAATATTGGAGATGGGAGAATAGAAAACATCTGTTTTATTGGAATTCCTCTCTTTCGTTGGTTTGATGTAAAGTGTATAAAGCGAAAGGATATATTGTTCCTGTGTGTGCGCCTTAACAATGTCAATAAAAAAAAACCCACGACAATTCCTAAAAATACGCCACCAGATGATGAATATAGACGAGATTTCGCTGAAGAACATTTGCCAAGCGATTGGATGTTTATTTGTCTAGTGAGAAAATTGCACAAATTGACAACAAACACCAGAATAAACCCACCTTCGTCAGTCAGCAAATATAACTACAGATCGATGCCCATTAGTTCAATAAAATTCAATAAAGTGATGTGCTCAATGGAATGACATTCCGAATGCATTTGTATTACGAATCAAGGGGAAGATAAGATGGCTAAAAATTGTACACCACTTTCCAGGACTTCAGATTTCATTGATTGTCCATAACAAGGCTAAAATCA